TGTGTGTGTGTGTGTGTGTGTGTGTGTGTGTGTGTGTGTAACGGAGTCCAGCAGGACTAACAGCAGCTCATTCTGTCTGGATTTATGGTGTTTTGAGTTCAGAAACTACTCGTTAATTTTTTGAAAGTTGAGGGACATTACATTAGCTTGTAGCTGTGCTGCAGATCAGCGCTGAACAGATTCGCGGGAACCTGGTCACACGCGGGGTCTGTGTTGGTGATTCTTGTTKKAATATATAAAAGCAATTATTGATAATGTAGCCATGCTGTGGCTTCACCTGTTGCATTTTCTTTTAAAGAAAGAAAAAGTAGCTTGCAAAGCTGTCGCATCAGTGCTACTTGATTTAAAAATGCAGAGTTTATATCGTGCGTCTAATCACACTCACGCACACACATGTCTTTGTATCTTTGTGAGGACCACACACAGTGCTAACAGTCTCGCTCAGTGCCGTCTTTTTTTCCCCAAGTTTGGCGAGAGGTGGATATGGAGGCGCATGGAGGTCCATATCTTTTTGGACACTGACACAAAGTTGATTTTTTTTACTTGTTTACCTAAACATATTCAAATTATAGTTATATAATGGAAATGGGCATAAAGTCCAGACTTTCAGCTTTCATTTGAGGATATCTTGGATGAAGGGTGTAGGAGTTCAACTCCTTAACATGTGCCCACCTTGCTCTTAAAGGCACCAAAAGTAATTGGGCAATTTACTCAGTGGGCAATTCTTTCATTATGTCATTCTCAGTTAAGTAGATAAAAGGCCTGGGCCCTTATGTATAAACCGTGCRTATGCATAAAAAAGTTGCGTGCGCCAGATTGTACGCCCACATTGGGRTGTATCAAAACCAAAGTTGCGTTTTGACCTGCCATGAGAATGTGCGGCAGCCACACAAAGTTTTTCAGTCAACAGTTTTAACCCACAAAGTCATGAATCTGACCTGAATCCACAGAAATATGACTCTTTTCTGTTTTCTGGATTAAGGCAGGGCCGGAGTGGGACTCATTTTCAGCCCTGGAGTTTGAAGCCTCAGACCGGCCCACTATAGATCAAGACATATTATTATTAAAGTCATTTTTATAACCTTTAAATCATTGATAATAGTGCACWATTCTGTAAAGCCTTGTAATTCAGTGCATTTTACAAAAATATTTCCAATTCAGTGCAAATGGTGTTGCTTCACGATGTAGATTTATTTCAACATAAGTGCACATCTCCAGAATTATTATTTACAACACATCCTTTTCAACAATATCAGAATCTAGGCTATATTTTGTTCAAATACGTGCAGTGAAATAAAGGAATAAATAAAATATTCAATTAAAAAATATAAAAAGTGTTGGACTTTCTAATAACACTATCAGCTCTTTTTCCTCTACAAGGAAACAGTTCCATCCTAAGTTAGATTTTACAAATATGAGAACAAGTTAAATCTCTACACTATTCTTTACATCAGAATTTAATTTTATGTTATATTAAATATCAAACAAATTAGTGTTTGCAGATATCTAATCCTTATGAATGAAGAATAAAAACGTATTCCACTGTGTTCCAAGTTTGTTATAATATTCTAATGATGCCATTATCCTATCTTTTTTCCCTCTGCATAAGAGTAGCTTTCAAAGAAATATCAGATTGTGAGATGGATTTATTAATTGTTATTTAACCAGGCAAAMCTATTGAGATTGGTGATGTATAGTGCAAGGAAGCCCAGACCTGAAAGTGACCTGTTATATGTTTTTGGTCTGTGAGAAAAACTGGAGCACCTGGAAGAAACTCACATGAGAACAAGAAGAACAGGCAAACTCCAGACAGAAAGACCCCAGGGCCAAACCAGGGATTGAACCCAGGACCTTCTGGCTGTGAGACATCAGTGCTAACCACTGATCCATCATGCTGCCAGATGATCAGAAATAATATTCCCTAAATTCACCTGCACTTGTATCAAAATAAAAATAATTAAAAATCTGTAAATCTTTAGCACATTTGATATGGAAAACACATTTTGATTTAACCATTTAATACACATTTAATGTCAAAATATGCAGGTTTAATTCATATTACTTTCATCTAATTCCCTTTTAATTGTGGGCTTTGTATATATTATCTTAATTTTAATTATAAAAATACAACAGGTTTCTATTGTTTGGGCCTGGAAAGTGGTAATATTGATACTAACACTTGTTTGTTCACACACCTGTTCCCCTCATCACTACTTGCTTCTGCTTCTGACACTAAATCACATTTTAAATAATTCTCAGCACAAATCTCTCTTTTCACAAAGTTTTCTCACCATTAGCTCAGTTACAGAAATGTACTGAAACATGTCAGAGCACTTTTCATATAAAGCAGGTCTACATCATACTCTTCATTATATTAATTCTAATAATATTCAGTCAATGACTGATCCTACCTGCACGCTCTGGACCTGTGTGCTCTGGAGCAGGATGGTTCTGTATCTTGGTTCTGACTCTGAGAAGCCACAAGACAATTTCCCAGTTATGTGGTGTCGCATTATTTATATTACATAACATTATGTTACTGACTTGATAATTAAATAACTTGAACGGTAGTTTGCAGACACAGTTCAACATGTTGCCTTACCTGTTTTCATTGTCCTCAAATCACGACCTCCTTTTACTGAAAAAGCTGCTAATTTAGCACATTGAGCTGCGTCAGTTTCCAGAGCATTCCCCTTTTTTAAACTTTCTCCGCATCATGCTTGCTTTTCCCATCTTTGAACCGTGCACGCTAACGTGTTACGTCAGARCAAAAAATAAAACAACAAAGAAAAAAAAGACGGGAGCTGCCAATTAGAAGCGGAGGCAGCCCAGGTKGTATGGCAAGCATTTGTATCATATAAATGTCTGGCAATACAGGGAAAGCCGTAGAAGTGATCTGATCAATAACTAAAAAGTTATACCGGCCCTTGCGGCCCAAATATCAGACCGGCCCACCGTGAGAAGTCCAGATCTTCCCGATTAGCCACGCCGGGCCTGATGTAAGGAGCGTCTGAACATGGTGTTAGATTTTTTTATTTTAATTTTTTTGTTTGAGTTTTTATTGTTTAAACTCGAAAGAGAAAGAAAGAAAGTAAATGTCTGGCAATACAGGGAAAGCCGTAGAAGTGATCTGATCAATAACTAAAAAGTTA